TAGAGCATGAAGTGGTCATCCAATTTTTCCAAAAAACTGGTTACCGGTTTCCATTAAATGTTGCTTCTGGTTTCATCGAAGCGCGCATGGTCTGGACGATGTACCAAATCCTTCCAGGGCGGCAGCTGGCATTTCTGGATTCTGAGCCGCTTTCTGCAGGCAGCCACAGGTTCTTCTTGAAACTCGGCCATGGTTATTCTTCTTCGTCGGGCGCCACTATCAGGACTTCAATGTTCCTCTTACTTGCTTTGGAACATGAACTGACCTGACTCGGAACAGGGAGCTTACTAAAGCTATGTTCAATAAATTGTGGAAGTAGACAAGTACACACAGGAAGGGTATACGAAAACCCTTTATTTTTTCTATCTTTACAATGATTTCCGGAACTTCGGAATACAGAGACCAACCACTTGTGGTCTGAACGTAAGAATATAAAAATATTAACTAAAAAACTCTAACTAAAAACTAACTTTGGATTAATATACAAGTGCCTAACTTCAAGATTGGCCGTTATATTAACAAAAGCCGTATGTAGTACAGAGAGCTGCTAAAACTACAATACGTTTAAAATTATCAAGAGGATTAAAACCTCTGGCCTTGGAAGGCAACCAGCAAACGAGTAAAACTTCTATGGCCAAGCGGCCTGCTTCTACTAACTCCTTCCTCTCTCTGCTTGGCAAAAGCCACAACTTAAGTACTTGGCGTTCGCCAGACAAATTTGCATAAATAAGTTAAAGCTTTTAATTCTGGCCGGAAGTAGAAAATAAGAAGTGATAGTAAAGATTTAAAATAAAATAAACATTAGTAAAACTTAGGATCCTTACAAGACTAGCAAGAAAACATATATATAAGACGGTGAGATAAGTCCTCAAATAAATTCACTACAGCTGAGTTGTCAGCTAATAGTATCTCTGATGAGCCAAGCCATGCGTCTACTATTGTTGAATCACTGAAGTTTATCGCATATATTGTATAATTTACAGATTCTGGTACTTTTCTGCTAATTATATGTTAGATCTCTATCAATAACTATAAAATAGCAAACATTATGCTGTTGTGACACCGCACGGTAAAGTTCACGGCAGTGCATGAGGGTCTTTGCCAACTTTGCTAGTTGTATAAATCTGTTCTTTAGAGTGGCACTGAACCATGCTGACCATTTTGCATCAGTTGGCTTATTGAGGAGGAATTCTTTAGTTTTCGGACATTGAATGGTATAATGTTCTGGATCTCTCAAATTGCCACAGTTACATAGATGTGTTTCACTAATTTGAAAACGATGAAGTTAGAAAAGGACTATGTCCATTGAGGAATCACGTTATCCAACTCGTTTTGCGCAGCAAATTTGTCGATACTTTTGGAACCATTCTTCTTCCAGTTAAAGCTGACTTGCATCTCGTTTGCCATTGCTGCATCAAAGATTGCCATGCATCAGGCTTTGAGGTTAGTGGAACTTGTGTCTCTTATGCATATGTGGACATGGCTGCTGCTTTTGCCGAATGGTCAGCTATTTTATTTCCCTGAATTCCCACTTGTGCGTGAACCCAGAAATGTTGAGGACGATCTGAGGAATGAAAATTTGCGAAACCCAGAAAAGTTGAGGACGACCTGAGGAATGACCTCACGAACCAAACTGTTGCTGTACCTCAAGAGACCAAATTGTTTCTGGTCTTAAGGGGACTCATACACCTTAAAACCCATAAGATGTTCGAATAGGTGACTGTTGCAAGCATTGGGATAAGATATTCATTTTAAAAGACATTACTACCAACTTTTTACAGCTGACTACATGATATAGCTGCTTTCTGAAATAGCAATCAGAAAGTTTGTGTTGCACAAATATTTATAATTTCATCGCTTTGTGACAACATTTGTCATATTTCCAACTGCGCGCACAGTTAAAACATACTGTTCATAATTTAATTTCATATTTAAATATATAGCTTTTATAACATTTGAACTACTGTGACCTAAATTCTAAAAATTATGTTAAATTTTATTTTATTTTATTTGAGTTTATAAAATGTATTTTATTAAAAAATCTGTAATGTTTTCGTGCACACAATTTTTTATTCTAAAATATTCATCAGATTTTTTTTCAGTTAGAGAATAGTGCCCATATAAAGTATTCCATCAAATTTGAAGAATGTACCATTAGCTATTTTTAAAATATCATGCTGCAGTTGGAACATGACGAAAATATTTGTCACAAAGCGGATTAACAAAAATTTTGTAGCAACACAACTTTCTGTTACTAATTTCCAAAGAACTATATTATGTATCAGCTGTAAATGTTGGAATATGCTTTTTAATAAGTAAAATATCCCAATTCTGGCAACAGTCACATATTCGAAGATCATTAGGGGTTTAAGGTGTACGAGTCCCCTTAAAGGTACAGATCTGCAAGACTACGCTGTTAAGCCAGAGGCAGAATCTGAAAAGCTTGAGACTGAATGTTGATTAGTATATAAGGCTACGGCTAGTCTTGTTGTTTTCCTCAGTGCATCTAATTCGGCTTGGTAAACTGAATAACCTGCTTCTAATCTTCTTCGCCATGAGTATATCAAGTGAGTACCTTCTATTAGGCAAAACCCACTTCCCATGCCATTTTCCATTTTAGAGCCATTAGTGAATATCTTAAATTGCGAATTCCAATTGATTTGCTTAAGAACTGTATCCGGAATATCGAAAACTGTTGCGTGCCATTGGTCTTTACTTTAGAGACTTTAGAGACTTTTAATACTTTAGAGACGATAGCTTCCCTTTCAACTAGCAAGTCCAAGGGTGCAATTCCCGAGATTACTTGTAAGGCTAGAATTGGGGAAGTACGATAAGCTCTTGTAAGGAGTAGCAGTTACTGACGTTGAATTGTATTGAGCATTTTTTTCCTTTTGTGGTAAGTTTTGTCCCCCCAGATTGAGGCTACAAGGATACAGGACGATTGAGACAGTTTTATCCAGTTTTTAAGAAATTCTGCAGGGACTCCCCAGCTTGGTTGTGCAACCTTTATTATTGAGTTTTGTGGTTGAGCTATCCTTAATTTAATTTGTCTGAGATGCGGAAGCCAAGAAAGCCTATTGCTTATGAGAATTCCCAAGTATTGATTGTATTGATTCCCAAGATTGGTATCAAACTTGATTGGCTTGAAATTTTAATACATGGGTTTCTCTTCAGTGCCTGATGTCTGCCAATTAGAAGTGCTTTTTATTTCGTTTTGCCTAGTTTTGACAGTTGAAAATACTGTACTGTGCCGTTGTCTCAACTGATGAGCGTCCTACGATAGTAATTACAAAGTCATCAGCGTAAGCTATCACGTGCACATCTTCCAGACCTCAAAATTCACGAAATGCTGTTTTGGCTGTTATATTCCACAATAGAGGTTCCAGGCAGGAGTCCTGCGGGCAGCCTCTTGAGACGTTCGTTTTAGATAATGAACTAAACGATCTGTTAGACTAACTGACGATCTGTTAGATAACAACAAATCAGAATTAATGCTGTACATTTTATAGATTTTAAAATATTACAGACGTCCGGCCACCAGAGTGCATTAAATGCGTTCTGGATGTAAATAAAGATCATTAGTGTATACATATTTTTATCCTTATTTGAGCTTATTATTTGCAACATGTCACTTAGTGCATGTTCTTTTAATTTACTTTTAAAAAAGCCATACTGCTGTTCAACTAACGTCAAAATCACATGGAAGTATTTCTTGTATGCATGTCCGTATAAAACGATGCATCTGAGTGCCAACTGCAAAATCCTGTTGAAGCTGTGTTTGGCAAAACCATTTATAGTAGTCTGTAGCTGTGAAATTCGTAATTTGATGTTGTTCGCTAAATGCAACTGGAGTAAAGCAGATTATTGCTTCGGTAGTTTTTCTATTATATCTCATTCAAAGCGCAATCATCGTATATATTATCTCGCAAAGTGTGTACTATTTGTATCGCGCTGAAATGACTCTAGTATCCTTAAGTTTCTTATAACGTAAAATTAGTAAGGCAGCATTTTGTATTTGGCGTAGATTTAGTCAAGATCTCAATTGATTTCGAGAGCAAACACATAATGGTCCCTCTTCATCAGGAGCAAGGAAATCTGTAAGGCTAATCAGTATTGTGGATTTCTTGCAGTCTTTCAGTCTTGCAAATTTCTTTGCTCCTGATGAAGAAGGACCTTTATGTGTATGCTTTCGAAATCGAGATCTTGATTAAATCAACGACAAACATAAGGTGGTTGCTTTACTAATTTTATGTGTCACTTTGGCGTGTATCTCTTCTGTTTTGATTTCTTAGTAACTTGAAGTCCAATATTCTGATCTAAATATTTAAAGATTAATTTTCCATCTTTTCTATTTACCTTTCCTTTTAAGTTAGGGTAAACCTGGAAAATATGGGCACTAAGGTAATATGGTCACATTTAAGCAAATGCTCATATTACACGTAATAGTTTTGAGATGGTGCATTCGCACTACAGCGTTGGCAATGCTCAAGTGTCATGGCGACTATGTGATTAGTTTATGTTGATGTGCGGTTCAAACAGAAGTGCAAACGGACCAGTTATGCATATAATATTATCAGTTATTCTTTTCATAAGAAAATCAGAAAGTGCAAAAACTCTATTTTGTTCAAATATGCATTTAGACTAACATGGGAACGTTATGTATCTTATCTTTCGTATGTTTCAAAAGTGAAAACAAGTATGTAATGTAATTGTATAAAACTGTTTAATCTTTTTAATTATATGTATCACGAACGAAATGCATTTTTATTTAAATCAATCAGATTAAAATGTAAAAAAATAATAGTGTGAAGAACTACATCTATTGCTTTTAAATAGTTTAGTTTGTTAATTAATTAAGGACAGATTAAATACGAAAGAATAGTACCTTCCTCTGGCAATGGACTCGAATGAAAAGTGAAGCAACGCAAAGTCGTGTTTAGATACTAATACAGCTTTTGAGATAAATAAAAAACGATTTAATTTGCTTTCTAATTACTCACTTGCAAGGTTCCTTGGCATCCTCACCCAAGCTGACTGCATTAATTGCTATACAAGCTTGAAGTTTGGTAGTAACACATATGTCATTTTCACAGGACACAAATCCTAAGAAAGCTGAAATAAATAAATTAAATTTATTTAAGACGGATTAAAAAGTCAATTAACCACTCAAAATATTTTTATTAATATGCAAACTACTTGTATTTTTTTATTTAAGTCAAGTTTGAAATGTAAATTAACGGAATCAATACAGCAATATATGTGTTCAGCTGAGCGTTTCTTAATTTATTGACAGCAATAAAGTAATAGTTCTATAGAAATAATTAGTGGATCTTGTGGAATTGCGTCTTTCGGTGATTTCTGTATACGCTGTAGCTTTCAATAACTCCATATACAAAATTTAGATATTTCAAGACAGGATATTTCGATTTCCATTTCTAGCATAAGAAAGATATGTAAGTTCTTGTATATAGGAAACGGCTAATATTTGATTTTGTCCAAATATTGAAAACAGTAGTTTTATAGAATAAGAAATATGGGATATGCTTCTCCCGAAATAAATCCCACAAACTTCATTTTTGTTTCCCTTTTCAAATGAACAGTGGTAGTGACTATTCGAAAGCAGAGCCATAGATTTCGCATTTCAAGGCACAATACTATAGGGTTTTGCTATATCTAGAAGCTTATCTCATAGTCCTGCAGACCTCCCTAAACTGAAAACTTAGTTATCGCTTTAGAATGAAGCAAATGATCAAGTTTTAAGAAGGTTAAAATAAACTTTTTATATAACTCTTAAATTAACACTAGATACTTCTTGTGCGAGAGAGAAAACTCCGCTACTTGTAGTATTTAACATCACACAACATGAATTTAATTTCAAAGGAGTGCAAAATCTTGTATAAGCGGCTACAACCTATGTGATATTAACTCAATAAATTCTGCATCAGATCTTTCCCAATATAAGTAATTCACAACATGGACTTTTCTTATAACGAAATCAGTTAGTTTAGCCCCAATAGTCTGGCATTAACCACAAAGATTCGCTTCCAGTTCTGCCCTATGATTAACCACAGAGAATGCCCCAAATGTATATTTTTAAATACAACAAATTTATAATTCTAACACGATGGTGCACATAATAAATATTTTCCAATGAATTTATACTATTTCAGTGCTTCTTGCAGCGAGCGAGTGCCATGGCCACTTTTTGTACTTCTACAACCGGGTATAATAAACAATTTGATGTAGATACCACACAACTTCCTTGCAGGGCCTATCAAATTATACACATTTTTTGCTTCACTTCATTTAAACTTACTCCCTCTAACTTTATTAAGGATATTCTTCTTATTCAATCAATTCAGTTCTCACTTAGCCTCAAATCTACATTTTTAAGTACAACAAATTTATATTCCGCACGCCCTGTTTCGTATTGTAAATGTTTTCCAATGACTTTATACACTGACTACCAATAAGTATTTGGACACCTATGCAAGTGACGATATCTGCGGTCCTAAGGTACGCCACGGACTCTGCCGGTATATATCGTGTAGGAAACAGCATAGGCTTTAGTCGCATGCAGATGCCTCGCAGTTCGGAGCTCTGATTTGAGAAGGTATAATTATCGGGTATCACAAATGTGGCCGATCCTTAAGGGACATATCTAGCGATCTGAAGTACCCAAATCGAAAGTGGCCTATGTGATAAGAAGTGGAAGTGAGCGGTGATTGTCGGAATGTGCTCCGAGTCGGCGACCAGCGAAACGGGGAGATAGAACCGACGAGTGCTGTCCAGAGAAATTCGGAAGAACCGCACCCAACCGATGGCCCTCATCCGCAAGGAGTTTCACAGGCATCCGGGAGTATTGTTTCAATTAATACCATCCGTAAGGAAGCACATTGCTTGGTTTTCATGGTTGTGCTGCTGCCCATAAGCCTTTGATCACAAAGTCCAACCGCGCTGCTCGGTTAATGTAGTGCAAAGCACATCGAAATTGGGCGTAGAATCAGTGGAAACGGTTCTTTGGAGTGCGAATCAAGGTTCACCCTTTACCGTTCGGATGGCAGGGTCTGGGTCTGGCGTCTACCTGGAGAACGTCTCCTGCCAGAATGCATTGTGCCAACAGTCAAGCTCGGCGGAGGTTGAATTATGGTCTGGGGGTGTTTCTCCTGGTATGAGCTGGGACCCTTGGTCCCCATTCATGGTAAGCTCATGATTCCTACTGCGCTATTTTGGATGACAATGTGCTTCCTACGTTATGGTAGTTTTACGGGTTGGACCCCTGTTACTTTCAGGACGACAGTGCCAGTTGTCATGTTTCGACGTTAACCAAGGCTTGGTATGGTGCCAATGGAGTTCACTGAATAGACTGGCCTGCCCAGAGTCCAGACAAACCTACGAGAACCTTGGGACGATGCTCGCCGAATTCAGGGGTGCACTAGAAGTGCAAAATCGGTGAAGGAACTTCTATGTCTTCTCCAAGCCGAGTGGAAGAAATATCACTAGCTGTCATACAAACTTGTGGAAGTATGCCTCGGAGAGTTCACGCTGTAATTACCTCTCGTGGAGGCTCTGCCAACTATTGATTTTGAAAAAAGTTGGTTTCTTTTCTATCACAGATGTCCAAATACTTATTGGTAGTCAGTGTACTACTGTAATCTTTAGCTTCCCAGCAGAGCGGTTGCCATGGCCATTTTTTGTACTTCTACAACCGCGTATAATAAGAAATCTGGTGTGGAAACCACACGATTTCTTTGTACGGCGTGTCAAATTATACACATTATGGGCGTTTTCGTGGTTTTCCCCATTTGTAAAGTGGATACGAGCCAGTTTCCATTAAAAAGACCTCGACAGGGCATCCCTCCCTTTCCATGTAGTGCCCAAGGGCGGAGCACGTAATAAGCAAAAAAAAAAAAAAAAAAAAATCATACACATTTTTTGTTGCATTTCATTTAAACTCAAATTCCTCGAATTTCATTAGAGATGTACTTCTTATTGAATTAATTTACTTCTCACTTCGCGACAAGGCAAAAATATATAAAAATTCAAAACATTTTCATTAAAAATTGTAAAACACAGAAAAAACATAAACCGCGAAATATAGTCAAATCAGTTAAAAAACAATATTCAATTAAAATTATTCTACTCCAAAACAAATTTCAGCCAAAGGGCAGAAAGAGAAAATTTCTTGTGCACATACATTTAAAGTTAACATTTAGCCTCACTGGGCAAAAAAAATCTGAAGCTGGTGCATCATCTGACTTATTTCACCGCATGACTAACTGTCTCAAATGTAAACAAGTAACCTGTACTTTAGGCTTAGCGCCACTTTTAAGTTTTTAATAATTCTGCAGCTATTACATACAGATTAATCACAAGCATAAAACATCAACTGGAACATAAAAACAACATAATTCAATTACTTTTAAAACAAAGAATGCGCAATTCACGAACGTATAAAAGTAAAAAACAGAACTCACCGAACCGCTTACGAGGGTGGGTATATATATACATAAATATAAATAAATATAAAAATAGGCTAAAATTCGAATTAAACAATTAGAATAAGAAATTTTTTAACACCAGTCCTTTACTATAGCTGCAGGATTGAAGTAGAATAAACTTAAAGCATCTAAATAATTAGTAATGAATAAAGCAAGCAATTCCTGTATAGTATAATAGTTGAAACCGTGTATAAGAGGTGGAACGCATTATTAGACTAATCCATAAGAAGATTCAGAGCATACAATCCTCGAAACAAAAAATGTAAGGTAAATATCCAAAATATACTAATAAAAATTAATTTCCTTTTATTGAAATTCCAATTCAGAACTCATCAGGAGAAAATGAATTAAAGTTTCATAAAAGTCGATTAATACGTTTCGTTCTCCTAGTCAATTTGAGATCAAAACCCGTAAAAAGATTTCATCAAATTTTTACTAAGGACTTTAAGATTTATTTAAAACCAAAACTCGAATCTCAAATGTTCCAGAATTTTCCCTATGCCTTCTTTGAAACACTTGGAAAAAGAAATAAAACATTACATTATGCCAAAATGGCAATTAAAAATTATAGAATTTTACATTATGTACTTTGAAATTCAAAAATACAAATCGGTCTAAAACCAATATATGCAAATCCAAAATTCAAAACTCATAGTCATTTAAACAAACTAAAAAATCACCACATAACTTCCTTGT